TTTTTTTTTTTTTTTTTTTTTTTTTTTTTTACTTGCAAACTTTGAATACCAAGAATACAATTTCTAAATTGAGTATTTCAACAAAATCTTTTTGGACACACACAAAAACTGTTCTCAAGTAGTCACCCTGTCAAACCAAAATACTCACAAAAATAAAGATATTGGAGGATGGAGATGAATATTGCAAGCACATGTAAAAATATTTTCGTGAAAAACAGCAGCATGGCACACAATCCATGGGTGGGACACACATAAAACTTCACCATCTCCAACATTGAACATCCGGTGGTTCGTACATCTGCCAATTTTAGTTACAGAATTAAAAAATTCTAACATTATGATCAAAGTCAATTGTTACATAAGTGATGGTGAATGATCCATTATTAGAGATGCAGAGTAACGAACATCATTACAAAAATTGTGATGAAGCAAGTAAATGATGTTTCAAATGTATGTGACAATGGTCTTATTGATAAACTGGGGTATTCATGCAGGGCCACACAAATGTACCTCTCAATCAGAACCCCAGAAGCTATGCATTTAACCTTTACATATCCACCAGGATCCATTCCTCCACCAATGCTCATATCTGGCTTTAAAAGTCTGGCAGCTTCCCAGGGTAAAGCAGTAATGATATTTAGCCAACTCTCTTCATTACTATCTTCAGTAACGGGTAAGTTCCCTAGGTGCAAAAGCTGAGTGATTAAAGCTCTGAAATGCTCATCAACTGCTTTGTTCATGGCTTTCTTGTGCTTGTAGTTTGATCAATTCCTAGTTCGGAATTCCTTACCGCTGAAGCTGTTCATGCGAAGGTAACCCCACTCTCCTCTACCACCCTCACCACCACTATCATCATCATCAGATAAAAGAGCAGCTTCTCTCCCCTCCTCTTCATCTTCAGGCTCTGGAGGTAGCCAAAGTAGATCATTGTTCCCATAATCCAAGAGTGAACCATCTTTATCATTGGAACTATTCGAAGGAGATGGTCCATGATCAACAGCATTATTCCGTTTATCTGCTTCTGCCCTGTGTTCTGTTGTTCCTTCTAATTTATGTGTCTCACTCTCGGGCAACCAAGGGGAAATTATGCAAGTCGGTTCAGTGATCTCCTTGTGAAGGTGCTCTTCACACTGCTCATATACATGATCAATCTTGCTAGAATTGATATCATCATAAGAAATATTCGGACACAAGTGACTTGTTTCAGAATGTGATTTACATATGTGGCAGTCATCATCCTGA